AATTAAATGATCTAGGAACATTTATACAGTGCATGTCATTGTAACGACTGTATGCAAGTATGGCATCTAACCTGATTAAGGTCTATGGGTTAGCATTGGACCATCATGCTTGCTCTTTTTTTTCTAAAAAGTTTGTTTTTGTACATATAATTATGTGAAACTGCCAGTTCATAAATAAAATAATTACATTCTCTCATGATATCAGGTTGCATCTAACTGTTTGTTTTTACAGGTTTCACAGAAGTTCCGTCTACATGCTTTGATGCTCTCTGTTAATCTTGCAAAGGGTAAGGTATTTTTAATGTAAAAAATTGTGAAAATGAAATGCCTGAAATCTTCTTATTCTCGTTATTTTCATCCCAAGACAATAATAAGGCAGTATCAAAATTCTATACTATTTTGTCTAAATATATTAAAAAACAATCTCTATTTTTAAATGCTACAAGTGAATGTAGGCATCGCAATTAATATGAAAAAGATATTCATTTTGAGGTTCGCTAAAGATTACATTTAACAGTATTAAATTATTGTTGTTTTCTTTAGATTAACAGTAAGTGAATGTAAATGTCAAGTGTGGTACCAATATATTGTGCATCCCTAATGGTGTGTCTCATCTCTTGTCATGTAATCATGTTCTGTCCTCTGATTGGTATCACTTCAACAGGAAATGTTTTCAATGCCTCCAATAATAATTTGTCTCTGTGGGAGGCATCTGTCGGAAGCTCCTACATGTGCAAAAAAGAGCAGAGTTACAACATCACTGACAAGCTTACCATCAACTCGTTTGAGCTACAAGTGCAGCCCTTCGCAGTCCAGAACAACAAGTTTAACACAGGTATGTATTTGTTTGTGATGCTGAAAATTATCTCATCAGAGGTAATTATACAGCATATGTATAACTCATAACTGAACTTTGTCCTTTAGTGCTGTAATTTTATCAGCTACTTTTCTACTCGCACTACAGCTCAAGAAGCATTGCTTTTCAGAGTGGTGTGAAAAGCCACTTTGCTTTCCAGCACTCAGTGTTCATTTTGAAGCTTAGGTACTGCTCTCATGCACAACTAAATCTGATAAGGCCATGGTTTCCTGTGATCATATCAGATGTGACTTGCAAGTAAGAAGAAAGATGAATATGCAAAAATTATATGATGAACACAGAAGGATGAATGGCAGTCTGAAATTTCCTGCCAAATTGATCCTGATAGCTCTGAATATGAGTTAATATTGTAGTCTGAATGTGAGGCAAGAACATGATGATTTGAACAGATTTATATTTATATTTTTGGAAACACTTCACTATAAAGGGACATTTGTTAACATTAGATGACTACTTTAGTTAACATGAACTAACAATGAAAAATACTTTTAAAGCATTTATTATCTTAATGTTAATTTCAACAAAGTAAGATGTTAATATTATATAATGGTCCTGAGCTAATATAAGCTAACATTGATCAGTTGTCTTTTTATTAACTAATGTTAGCAAAGATGAATAAATCTGTAAAGTCTCATAGAAATGGCCCAGTTTTACCAAAATAAGTGTCTGTGATTTTTGATGTTTGTGAAGTGTGTTGAGAATGTCTGCAGTGGTGTTAATGTGGAGATAGCAGCTTCATCTTACGTTCATTCATGTTCTCTTTGTCTGCAGCCCATGAATGTTCAATGGATGACACCAGCCTCTTAATCCCAATCATTGTTGGTGCCGCTCTGGCTGGTTTGATTGTCATTGTTATGATTGCATACGTGATTGGTCGACGAAGGACCTATGTTGGATATCAAACACTGTAATGCAACAAAATCACAGAATCAAATCCTGGGTGTTTTAAGGGACACACAAGCCTGTTCCTGGACCATTTTAAATATTGTGGGTTTTTGTGCAATCTCAATTGGCAACTGACTCATGGCCACGGGAGTCCAAAAACATGTTTTGTCCTAATGAGGTCTATTAATCCACCGACCCTTAAACTGCAATATTGAAAATCTAAAGATACAGTGGCACTCCAGGACCAGAGCTTCCTATTGTGAACTAAGTTTGTGTGTGCACCACAAAATTTTGTGTTGTGAAGTAAGTGCATGGTCTCTTTGTGTTTTGGCTTAAAGCTCCATTTATTTTTTCTTAAAATGCAAATTACTTCTACAGTCACAGTACCTAGATCATGGTACTAGATTGTGGGTTGTGGCCAATTTAAAATTTCATCGCTCCATATCAGACCCTGCACTTGCTTCTCCTAGACATTCCTTTCATTTTATTTTTATTTTTTTTGGTTTATTTTGTTATATTTAGCTCATTTCATTTGTGCCCATCAAATCTGTCATTACTGTATCCACAGCTTTAAACTGAAACTGCTTTCAGCGTTCGGGTTAAATATTAAAAGTAGTTCCAGAAACAAGTTGGTACTCTGCACTATAGTGACTGGACAGCTATCATTTATTGAAATCGGTGATTTTGCATCATGTTGGTCGTCCTGTATTCAGAGCAGCATCTAAACATGCTGGACGGCCCATTCAAACAATTGAAATTCTAGAACAGGAAAACCAATGCTTGAATGTTTAACCTACATGACAAGCATTTTAAAAATGCAGACCATTGTAATAAATGTAGACCTATTTTTTTTGAGTGACACTTAGTTAAGCATAATACAAAGAAATGCTAACTGGCATTTAAATGCTGTTACAAAATAGTTTTGGTAATGTTTGGTTACCCTTTATTGGGGTTTGAAAAGGGACAATTAATTATAAATCAGCCATCTTGTCAGCTACTCTTCACAATTTTGACTTATTTACATCTATTCTAGCCTGAAAGATAAATTCTGCTTTTTACTAACTGAATTGTATTTGCTGCAAGATGAATTTTTGCACCTGTTTGAACCGTCTTTCGTAGTGGCTGTTTTTTTTTGTTTTTTTTTATATACTTTTTCTTTTGTTACATTAGACGTGACTTGTGTTTTCAGGATAAGTTCTTTGCTTTCTCTTATGTATTTGTTCTTTTCACATATTATGGCTCTCTAGGTTTCATAGATTTTTCCCCCCTTCATTTTCTGGTGAATTTTTCACTTAATGCTCTGTTCTAATTTAGTCTATGCAGCACCCACGCAGAATCTTTTGTAAATGTTTGTTGTTTTTACTATAGCCAGGACAAATGAAACATTTAAAACTGGTCACTGGTATTTTTTTGCCTTGCTTAATGCAGTTACTTTTGCTTGCCATCCAATCAGTTACATCAATAACTTGTAAAATAAAGATGGATTTATATTAAATTTTTTTCTCCCTGAACATACTTGTGTGACCGTTTTCTGCTTGCAGACTTATCCTTATCTGACTGCCCTAAATATTTGATGCGTTTCATGAGATTTGGTTGTTTTGTTTTGCAACGGAATAGCTTTGTTTTAATGGACTTTTAGCTGCAATAAAAGGAGAAAGACAGTTGTATATAACAATAAAATCGGTGTTGGCCATCTTTTCAGTTTTAATCAAAAACTGCCATGCAAATGTCAAAGAATTTTGTTTCATATAGGTTTCAACTGCAGTTTGACACATTCTTGCTGTTTCTTCTTGTTTGCTTGTTTGCCCTCATTCGTTCTCTTTATTTTCAGCTGAGGATTGCGTCGCAGATGAGCCTGATAACTTCATTGTCCCTATAGCGGTGGGAGTTGCCCTGGCTGTCCTCATTGTTATTGTATTACTGGCCTATCTGATTGGAAGAAAGAGAAGTCAGAACTCTGGCTATGAGCAATTTGATTCGTAATATTAATCTGAAAATATGAATTGGTCCATGGAAGTTCTGGCTTATCTAGCAGTATTTCAGAAATCGGATCATTTCGGTTTATGTGCACACAAATTCTTTTGAAACGAGTCTCGTATTTCAAATATTTTATTGTATTCCCTTGTTAGTACATTATGTAACGTGGTGATTATAAGGTAGGCTTGTATGGCACATAATACAATGCCTATTCTGTGTTGATCTGACTAAATTGTGAGTCCTGTTGTGAATTTGAGTGCCTAACAGTACTGTGTTATTTCCGTAATCACTCACCCTCTGTTTCTTTCTCCCTTTCTCCCAGCGGAGGAATGCTTTCTGGATTCTGATTTGAGTTTTCTCGTACCCATTGCTGTGGGTGTGGCTCTCAGCTTCCTAATCATCCTAGTGCTTATCTCTTACCTGATTGGCCGGCGGAAGAGTCGCACTGGTTACCAATCTGTATAACAACCCAAGCTGCTGCCGTCTTGCCTCTAAACCCAGCTTGTCCTTTTACCATTAATATTTGCTCCTCTCTCTTCCGGTCCTGTTGGCTTCTTCTTTTGCTCTGCAAACTGCTCGACCCTCCTCACCTGCCAGCACTAACCACTGATGACACCCCTATTTCTAACACGTTCGATTGCGTAATTATATCATTACTACATAATTCTTATAATTTCCTGTGTATGATTTAAACGTTTTCTGAATGATGTGGCATATTTCTGCTTAATCACCCTTGAAGCAATGTCAACCGGCATGATTCACTTGTTTGGTGTTAAGCACAGGCTGTCTAAAATCCACTGGCATTGCGCTGTATGTTAAATGCATGAGAAAAAAAATATTATTCCCCCTTTTTATGGGAGTTTGGTTTTTCTTGCTCTAAGGATGCTCAGTTCTGGTTGCTGTGACTTATATTAATGTGAACTTTTATTATGAATTAATAATGCAATTTTAGAATTGGGAATCTTTTGAGTTTATTAACCATTAAATGTAAATGCTAAAATAGTTCTGTAATTGTACTCTCGTGAATCAGTTGTTGGCGAAATTAGGGGTGAAAAGTATCCTGGTGTATTTTCTTAATCGGCAGAGCTAATAAGTCACACTCTTGCACTTTGCATATTGTATTATAAAGGGACACTAATTTTTTTTTTTTGTGACATTTACCAGCATCGAATATGAAGATTTTGTTGATTTCATTAGGTCCCTCTCAGGGAATGTTGGAAGTGTTACGATAGGCTTGTTAGTACATGGGTTTGTGGATTTAGTTTGTCATTTCTCTGGACACATGCATACAATGTACAAAATACACCATTTCTAAGACCAAAGCTACAAGTTCCTGTGTATTTTCAGTCTTATTTTCTGCTCTGCATAGTGAAAATACTAATGTGTCCAAATCAGTTCATTTGTCAACCATTTTATTTTTCATAAAAACCCCCAAAGGATTTAGCTGTTAAAACAAACACAGTTAAACACAGAATATCATTGTTGTACTATAGTGTGCCTTTTAGTAAGATGTCTTTGAATGTTGGTTCAAAAAGGAAAAAAATTCAATAAAATGTTTTTTTTTTGTATTGTACAGTAGTCTTCCTCTCTCTTTGTTTTCTTGCTCTGACCTCTTTTTGAGAATCTCAGTACAATGTTGATTTCACGTTAGACCTGAGGTGTTAAGCAACTAGTTTTACACAGTTCACATGATTTCACAGTTATAACTGATGGACTTAGATCAGCAGTGTTGCTATAAAAGTTACTGTTGTCATAAATTATGTCTCTGTTACTGGAACACTAGAAGCATCTCACTTTGACCTGCATAATACTTATGCCTATTACTGAATGCACATAACTGCATTGAAGTTTGAATGTAGTGATGTTTTTTTTACATTGTCATTTATTCTAAGTGACCATCTCAAGCAATTTATCATTAGAGACAATATGACGCATTTCACAACTGATTTGTTACTTTTAAACAGAATGGAAAACTGAGCAGAAAGGTCTGATTCTGTTAATTCTCATCCATCTTTATTGTTTATGCTAGAACATGAGTGCGTTTAACACATAAGCTGGCAAATCTTTGTCAGCCAGTGGCTATTTCGTTGCATTTACTGAATAACAAAGATGTGCAGTTACCAATTTCCATCTCACTATTACACTTTGTAACTCTTTGTACCATGTCAATATATTCAAATACAATTAATAAATAATACTGTTGAAATCCTCCTTACAGGCAGCTGAGCAGATAGTTTCACTCAGAGATGAATTATGTGACATACTCGATTTCGTTTTAAAGAAGTGTTGGTTGCATGCTTAGAAAAAGAAAGATCAACTAGTACTTCATTATGAAACTCTGTGAAAATGATGAAATGGGATTTCTGTCCCACATTTCAGTAAAATACATTTGCCTCTGGAATCAAAATTTAGTTGCACATCCAAAAAAAAAAAAAAAGGAAAGAGAAATTTAGTCCAAAAATGTACAATCAATTATTAATTCTAAACCACATCTGATTATTATTCAATTAAATGAGCAAGCAAAAGGATAATGTTAAGCAGTTTCCGGCCTTTTTCTTCGTCCAAAGGGGGAATTTAAAGGAGACTGATTAACAGAGAAGAATCATAAAAAAATATTTTGTGTGTTTTAATTTGTGTTATATACACATCTGACTTAGCAAAAGAACTGATCAAAAAGGTTTAATAGATGTTAATTCTACAGTCTACACAGATCTAGAGAATTGTTTTGCCTACGTCTCACTGTAGAGTGATTATGCCTCAATAGCTATAATTGCAACCTACTTACTGTATTTGGACATCTTTTCATATTTTCATTTGATCCTATAATGAAATCCAGGCAGGTCAGTCTCTAGCGGCTGGGTACTGAATGTGATCTATGAATCTCAGTCTTTTGAGTCTTACTGGGAAATTCCTTGTTTGAAAAAGTAGTGTAGTAACACAGCTCTGACACGAATAGCACAGTGGCTGCCGGAGGCATAATCATGAGGGCTAATGGGTAACGACAACACCCAGTGTGCTATTTCATTTATTATAACATACTCTGAGAAGTTTAATTTCAATTTCTCTAGGTCTACTGCCACCCTACGCACCCACTACTAAAGTGAAAGACACACTACCCAGGAAACGATCAGTTGGTGAATCGTTGATGATGCCTTTGCCATTTAGTTTGCATTGAACGTGAAGTTGGGTGTCATACTGGACACTAGGAAAGCGCACAGCCACCAGCGGGGAAGAGTAGTTGACCTGTTTGTAGAAATGGTGAAAAATGCTATGAAATGCTATTAAGTCATGAGGAATTCTGAGAGAAATGTTAAGTAGGATCACTTACATGTCTCAGTTTCCCATAATAGGGATAGTACCGCAAGTTGAAGATATTTTCTGGAAAAAAATGGACTTCTCCGAGGCCTTCGGTTGACCCTTTCTGGAAAAGCATTGGAGGTAAAATGTTTTTTTTTTGTATTGTACAGTAGTCTTCCTCTCTCTTTGTTTTCTTGCTCTGACCTCTTTTTGAGAATCTCAGTACAATGTTGATTTCACGTTAGACCTGAGGTGTTAAGCAACTAGTTTTACACAGTTCACATGATTTCACAGTTATAACTGATGGACTTAGATCAGCAGTGTTGCTATAAAAGTTACTGTTGTCATAAATTATGTCTCTGTTACTGGAACACTAGAAGCATCTCACTTTGACCTGCATAATACTTATGCCTATTACTGAATGCACATAACTGCATTGAAGTTTGAATGTAGTGATGTTTTTTTTACATTGTCATTTATTCTAAGTGACCATCTCAAGCAATTTATCATTAGAGACAATATGACGCATTTCACAACTGATTTGTTACTTTTAAACAGAATGGAAAACTGAGCAGAAAGGTCTGATTCTGTTAATTCTCATCCATCTTTATTGTTTATGCTAGAACATGAGTGCGTTTAACACATAAGCTGGCAAATCTTTGTCAGCCAGTGGCTATTTCGTTGCATTTACTGAATAACAAAGATGTGCAGTTACCAATTTCCATCTCACTATTACACTTTGTAACTCTTTGTACCATGTCAATATATTCAAATACAATTAATAAATAATACTGTTGAAATCCTCCTTACAGGCAGCTGAGCAGATAGTTTCACTCAGAGATGAATTATGTGACATACTCGATTTCGTTTTAAAGAAGTGTTGGTTGCATGCTTAGAAAAAGAAAGATCAACTAGTACTTCATTATGAAACTCTGTGAAAATGATGAAATGGGATTTCTGTCCCACATTTCAGTAAAATACATTTGCCTGTGGAATCAAAATTTAGTTGCACATCCAAAAAAAAAAAAAAAGGAAAGAGAAATTTAGTCCAAAAATGTACAATCAATTATTAATTCTAAACCACATCTGATTATTATTCAATTAAATGAGCAAGCAAAAGGATAATGTTAAGCAGTTTCCGGCCTTTTTCTTCGTCCAAAGGGGGAATTTAAAGGAGACTGATTAACAGAGAAGAATCATAAAAAAATATTTTGTGTGTTTTAATTTGTGTTATATACACATCTGACTTAGCAAAAGAACTGATCAAAAAGGTTTAATAGATGTTAATTCTACAGTCTACACAGATCTAGAGAATTGTTTTGCCTACGTCTCACTGTAGAGTGATTATGCCTCAATAGCTATAATTGCAACCTACTTACTGTATTTGGACATCTTTTCATATTTTCATTTGATCCTATAATGAAATCCAGGCAGGTCAGTCTCTAGCGGCTGGGTACTGAATGTGATCTATGAATCTCAGTCTTTTGAGTCTTACTGGGAAATTCCTTGTTTGAAAAAGTAGTGTAGTAACACAGCTCTGACACGAATAGCACAGTGGCTGCCGGAGGCATAATCATGAGGGCTAATGGGTAACGACAACACCCAGTGTGCTATTTCATTTATTATAACATACTCTGAGAAGTTTAATTTCAATTTCTCTAGGTCTACTGCCACCCTACGCACCCACTACTAAAGTGAAAGACACACTACCCAGGAAACGATCAGTTGGTGAATCGTTGATGATGCCTTTGCCATTTAGTTTGCATTGAACGTGAAGTTGGGTGTCATACTGGACACTAGGAAAGCGCACAGCCACCAGCGGGGAAGAGTAGTTGACCTGTTTGTAGAAATGGTGAAAAATGCTATGAAATGCTATTAAGTCATGAGGAATTCTGAGAGAAATGTTAAGTAGGATCACTTACATGTCTCAGTTTCCCATAATAGGGATAGTACCGCAAGTTGAAGATATTTTCTGGAAAAAAATGGACTTCTCCGAGGCCTTCGGTTGACCCTTTCTGGAAAAGCATTGGAGGAGATCCAAAATTGTTACTGTTTGGAATACTGCAAAGAAACTGGGTTGTTATACTGTATAATTGTTTTGTTTAGTTATTTATACAGTAGTAACGGATTGTGTTAGTCATTAATTGTTACCTTTACTCCACATGATACATTTACTGGAGTGCCTTGACCAGGCAGATACCCGAGAATCTGTCACAACAGAAAACAGTCAAGTGTCTGACATACCACTTAATTAATCACTGAGACTGGCTTGATTACTTAAAGGGGTCATATGATGCGATTTCAAGTTTTCCGTTCTCTTTGGAGCGTTACAAGCTGATTGTGCATAGATAAGATCCCTGAAGTTGCAAAGACTAAAGTCTCAAAACCAAAGAGATATTCTTTATTAAAGTTAAGACTCTGCCACGCCCCCTAAAACGGCTCGTTCTAACACGCCCCCACATATCTACCTCACTATGTGGAAATATTAGCATAATGCCGCCCAAATGTGCACGCAAAGAAAGAAGGCATGGTTTCAGTAACCGCAGTTAGTGTTGAAGCAGCCATGTCAGGGAGACGCTGTGTGTTTCTAGGCGAAAGCAAAAGCACTTTATTTGGCCTTCCGAAAGTAGATGCATTTAGGAATCTTTAAGATCACTTACAACAGAACAGCAATGCATTCTATGGACGACCGTTTCGTGAACCTAGGAGAGGAGGTAATTCAGAATCAGCTACTGTTTTGTTATTAGTTTAAGTATTTGCTATTGACTGTTCAAATAATAATAATAATAATAATAATTCATTACATTTATATAGCGCTTTTCTAGGCACTCAAAGCGCT